CAGTTGATTTCTGTGCTGCATTTTGCATTGAAAATCGATGCGAGGCCCGTGATATATTTATTTCAAATTTAAGAAGCCAAATACAGCCTAGAAATCAACTGAAAATTAACTTTTGACCTGATTTTCTCAGAACCGCCGTTTCGCAAAAACAAAAAACACATTCAGAATCAGAATTTTATGGGCTTTCTAATGACTTTCTAAAATAGGTCATGAACTGTAACTTGGAATCATGCTCAGATAGTTCCCTAGTTAGGCTTAAGCTAAAAACTCATAGGCTAAAAACCCTTAGGCTTAGGCTAAAAATGCATAGGCTAGAAACGCATAGGATTAAAACGCATAGGCTTATAATTCTTAGACTTAGGCTTAGGCCAAAACTTCTTAAGCCTAGGATTAGGCTGAAAACGCATAGGCTTAAAACGCTTAGGCCGATAACGCTCAGACTGAATGTGCTTAGGCTTAGGCTTAAGCTAAACGCTCAGGAGTAGGACAAAAACTCGTAGGCTAATAACTCGAAAATCTTGAAAACAATTGGTTATCATTTTCGGACCAAAATGTTATTCAATAATATTTAAAAAAAGCTCAACTCATAGAATATTTTAAAAGCGGTCAAGCCAGAATGTTCAAGGGCCCATGGATAGAAACCCCATTCCTGGAATCAAAGATCCAAATTTTAAAATAGATTTCTAGAATATTTTAGAACTTAAAATTTGGAATTTTCTACAGTAATCCCCAAAGACCATAACTCTCACAGTTTGAACCGCGAAAACTGTGTTCACTCCTTCTTTCATCTAAAAATCAAATATTAGTATTTTGTTCCTGTCTACCTTAAGCCTCTCAGCCGCCATTCTCTCTCTTCCCCCACTCACAAAACCTCTCGGTGTTTGATGATTCGACTTTTGTAAGGCCACGACTTGCGCTCTCTCTTTCTGAGCACATTTCAATTTCCTTGACATATCTTGAAGATTCTAAATCTTCCAGGATCAAGTTTAAACCTTTTCTATTTTGAACTTTGTAATAATCGAAGGGTCATGAGTCTCATTACATCTGTTCTCTTCTTCGTCGTAATAATGTTAATTGGGTGCTTTGGCAGTTAAACTCTCTCCTGCTCTTAACTTCCTCCTCCTCTTCTTCTTCTTCTTTTTTCTCTCCATATACTGATCTAAGCCTTCAACATTTTCCTCCTTTTTGTCGGCCTATTTATCCATTTTGCCCCCGTATATACTGCTCTCCAACACAAAAACTCTCGCGCGTTTTGTTTTTCTCTTCGTTTCCTCTCTCTTTTTCATCCACTTCCTTCTTATTCTTCTTTTTCTTCTTCTCCTTCTATCTTTTCGTTCATTAACACTGCTCCTCCGGCTCCCCCGGGTGCCTTCAGTATCCATCGCGCACTCACTTCGAACAAGAAGAAAAAGAAGAAGAAGAAGACCTTTCCTCTTTTCTCCCGTTTTTCTGTTACTCCAGTGGGTCCTCTCCTTCGTTATCGATTTCGGCTTCTTCTTCTTTTTCTTCTTCTTCTTCGTGTCATCTCATCAACATCATCTTCATCTTCTGAAGACGTTGAAAACAGACAGTGGAGAGCACATACACACACGAACGGCTGATTGATGATGATGGTGAAGTCAGTAGATGAGTCCGCGCTCTTGGAAAGGTGCATTTGATGAACGACCCACCGGATGTGGACCGGAGATTGGGAAAACGGGGCGAATGGGAAATAGAAAATGGAGCAGAAGACGTGATGAATTAGTGTGTATAGAATCTTGAGACGTTTTCGAGTGTGGGCTGGGCCTATTCTCTCAGTCGGCAGGATTTAGAGGGGCCTACCTTCCCATAGTTTTCTTCATAAATTGTAAAAAATCTAATTTTTCGTGTTTTGGCAGGTCTCATCCATTTTTCTTTCCTGTTTTTCCACTCATTCGACAATTCTCTAATAGAAGCTCACCCTTGGGAGCTAAATTATCTCGGTTCCTGGGAGAGATATCAAAAATCTGTCAACTAATAAAATTTTGGTGATATTGTGATAAACATTTTATCTTTTGACTACTTTTTGATACCTTACACGGATACCGAGAAATACGGGCCCAAAGTTTGGATGACTATCTATTAGAGTGTTAACGGTATTAAACTGACTTTTTTCAGAAACATTTTTCCGACTTTTAAAATCACAAAAAAGATCAACATTAGACGAATTTCCTCGTTTTTCAAAGATTAAGCTACAAACAATCATAATCGAATTTCCTCAATATTTCATAGCTAGTTCTCCGTCATCCACACCCTCAATTCGTCATGCTTCTTCTTCCTAATACTTTTTCTGTTTCCATCACAATTCATTTTGCTAAAAGGTGTGATAAGACTACTCTCGATGATTTAAAACTCTTCTTCTTTCTCCCCATTTTAGTATAGAAAAGTGCGGATTTGTTTCTCTAATCCTCTCCCCCGGATCTTCTTCTTTTTCTTCCCCCACCTTTCCCAAATGATTTGATCATATCCGAATCTTCCTTTTTATGAATTCTTCATATTCTTTTTTTCTCTTTCCTATTCCTTTCCTCCACTTTTGCTTGTCACATTCAGTTGTGACTCATAGTCAAAGTCATCATCGTAATCGTATTCTTAAAAGTAATTGATTGAAAAATTCGCTGACAATGACAGAATTTGTATCCTCCCCGTTTGTAATTTGATGTCTTGTCTTCTAGAAGAATCGAGATGTCGTGACATCTTCTAAAACAGAATCACCTATTCTTTGTGAATATCAAATTGGGGTGGAAAATGAAAAAACGGGGAGAAACTGGTGAAGGGAAAGAAGGAAAAAAAGAAGAAGGAGTGAGAGGAGAGCAAAAGGGGAAGAATGAGGACTCATTCATTCACTATTCTCATATAGAATCATCATGATCCCCGCTAGTATTATATCGACTTCAGAAGGTATGTGTTTCTAGTTAAGTTTTAGGCATAGAGATCGATAAAGTTGACAGATAGTTATGCGGCCTAGGAATCTCAAAACTTGGAAAACTCTTCTCCTTGATAACCTCCCATCTTGACCATCTCCTTCATTATTCACCTATTGTTTTTATTTTCCTTCCCGTCACTTTTCGCCTGCCAAAAACTCTCCAGTTGTCTCAAGGACACACACTACTAAAAAGGTTCAAAAGAACAAGTAAATCCTCCTCTCGAGAGATTCGGAAACGCAGACATATCGAAAGAAGAACTTTCAAAACTCTGCGTCTCTCAGCTTCTTCCCTTATCAATCACGAAGGTCTAAAACCCCTTTACTTTTCTCCCCCATCATTTATCACTTTCCTTTACTTTCTCTGCATCTCTAGCCCTCTCCTCAATCTTCACACTCTTTCGGTCTCCTCTGCTCTTTCCCCTCTTTCTCGAAACGGCGCTCCGAAATTTCGATTCATTCATATATTATAATATCACTCTCTACACTCTTTTCCCCCTTCACTCTCCTTCTATCTTCATGCTCTCTAGTTGTCTAGCACTTTCTCATATTTCTCTACTATCTCTTCTCTCGACGACTCCTGTGCCTCTCCAGCTTTTGCTCTGAAGCTCGCCGCTATTTCCATCGCATTTTTATCCCCCTTTACTTCTTCTTCCATCTTCTTCAGTAGGAAAAGAAGAGAAGAAGACCGAAAGCAACGGCGTGCGTATGTGTGAGCCCATACATACACCATGCACGGAGAAAAAAAAAAAGGAGGGGACGAGGAGCGTCTACCACCACCAACACCATCACCAAGAGGGCCTTCTTCCGCAACACAATTCATCGTGGAGCCTTCGTTTTTCCTTTTTTTTTGGGGAAAGAATATTCTGGAAACAAAAAAATATGCCGAAGGACAAGCTCTAATCAATCAAGAGCACTTTTTCTTCATCTTTTTTTCTTTCTCTTTTTTTCGCGGTAAAAAATATTGACCATCAGTTTCCCCTGACTTTTGACTGTTTTTTATCTTCTCCTCCTTCTTCTTATTTTTCATCATCCCTTGTTTACTACACCACCTTGTTCTTGCCACGTGCTTCCTTGAGCAATTAGACCCAGGTGATTTATCTCTGATCTTCCCCTCCTGAATCGAGCTTTCCCCCTTCTACTTGGCGCCGTCGCTACAACATGCTTCATTTTGTCGCCTTCTTCTCGATTTTTTTTCATTTTTTCCTCTTTTTTCTACGTCTTCTTCTTCGTCTCCTCCTCATCCTTCGCATGTAAATGAACTCATGCATACGATATCACCATCGTCCTCAACGCTCCGCCCCCTTTTTCCAAGGCTTCATTTGGAAGGAAGCAAAAAAAACGACACATATAACTGACTTTTTGTTCTCTCTAATGCTATTCTTCTTCATAAAAAATTTAATCTTCTCTAAAAATTTATAAAATTTAATTTTTCAGTTGGCCCCAAAAACCACACACCGCGTTCAGAAATTTCGAAGCGCAAGTGGGCATCCGAGGAATGTTATATAGGTGAGTCGTCCTTTTTTTTTCATTTCGTCCTTTTTTCAATATTTTTCCCACCCACACTCGTCCCAATTCCTTTTTTCAATACATCATCACACAATCATTTTGCCCCATTCCAAAACATGCATCCCAACTATACGCTTTTCCTGTATTCTTCAGGTGAGAAGCGTCAACGGGCATCGACAAACCAGAACCAAATCAACCTTCTCACCCAACTACAACAACAAGAAGGTCCGAATCTCCCTCAACAACACCTTCGTCCTCCACTCCCACCTCTACCACCACCAACAGCAGCGGTAACAGCAGGATCCGGCAGTGCTCAGCTATATTCGGAGCACTATCTACAGCAGTTAGCCATGATGAACGCGTGCACCAAGTTCAGCGACAACTACGATGTGAAGGAAGAGCTTGGAAAGTGAGTTATTTCCTTTCCTTCACTTCTGACTAATATATAATAGTAGTCGTTATGTTATATACACACAATTCGTTTCGATCTCATCTGTATGTGTTTTCGCTCCTCGTTGTTTTTGGCTCTTGCCGTTTTCAGCATCTCGATAGAGTGAGCGAGAGCCAAATGCTCCTCGTCTCTTTATCTCCCAATTAATCTCTCTTTTATTCTTTTTCTCTGTCTCACTCTCCCAATTTCCAGTGATGTCTCTTTATCTCACTCTACACACCGCCCGTTATATATGTGATTAGAAATTGAGCTGGACATGAGAGGGAGAAGCGAGAGAGGGTGGGGTAGTGATAGGAAAGGAGAGACGCAGAGAAAGAGCAGCTGGTATCCAAGGGAAACAACTGAACTAGTACAACTAGAGTATTTACACCTTTTTGGCATGTTGATCGGATTGGAGAACCAAAAAAGGGGGATGAGTTTATGAAGGATAGAAAAATCAAAATTACTGTAAACCCTGTAATAGAAGAGCCCTTAACTTTGAGCCAATTTTTCTTGGTTCCTGTCAAATATACAAAAAGTTGTTAACTAAAAAATTGTTTATCATAATATCGCCAATATTTTATTAGTTAACAACTTGTCGATATCTTTCACGGTTACCGAGAAAAATTGGCTCAAAGTTGTGAATTAAGTTGTGCTTCTATTAGAGCATTAATCTCGATTCCTGTCGAAGATATTAAAATTTGTCAACTGTTAAAATGTTGCTGATATTATGATAAACATTTTGATATCTTTTACAGGCAATGAGATATACTGGCTCAAACATGAAAGTGGGGGGGGGGGGGTGGTGCCTTTCTATTACAGGTTTTACGGTAATGTTACATTTTTTAGATTCTTGCCTTTAAAAAACCTAAAAATTCTAAAAATCTGAAAATCTGAAACTGAAAATCTGACAATCCAAAAAAATCCAAGAAGCTACAGAACCTTCAACTCGCAAATTCCAAAATTTCAGAGGCGCCTTCTCCGTGGTTCGTCGCTGCGTTCACAAAACAACCGGACTTGAGTTCGCTGCAAAAATCATCAACACCAAGAAATTGTCGGCCCGTGATTTCCAGAAACTCGAGCGAGAAGCCAGAATATGCAGGAAGCTTCAGCATCCGAATATCGTCAGACTACACGACAGTATTCAAGAAGAGTCGTTCCATTATCTGGTTTTTGATCTGTAAGCTCAAATTCTGAATATTTTAAAAAAAGATAATTTTTCAGTGTCACCGGAGGAGAATTGTTCGAAGACATTGTCGCTCGAGAATTCTATTCAGAAGCAGATGCCAGGTACGAGAGTAGAGATTTGAATATTTTTGTATTCAACACAGGTCTCCAAAAGACTTGGTCAGAAATCGCGCCCCAGCGAACAGAAGATTTCCGACCACGCCTTCTGAAACCCTGTTATTCAATCGAAAAAATGTTTTCGAAACATTAAAAAATTGTAGTTGCTGTATAATGCAAATATTAGACGGTGTAAACTATTGTCATCAGCGCGGAATTGTCCATAGAGACATGAAGGTGAAAATGAAATGAACATGAATTTTGAAGTGTAGAATTTATCTAATTTTGTTATTTTTGAAAACTAACTGTGTCCAATGTCCATTTGCTGTTTTTATTTTCAGTCATTGCATACAACAAATACTCGAATCGATTGCATACTGCCATTCTAACGGTGTGGTTCACAGAGATTTGAAGGTTTGTCCCTTGCAGTTGTTGCTCTTTTCTATGTCTTTCACATACAAACTTTAAGAAAACTAATCCTTCAAATTTTCAGCCAGAAAACTTACTCCTTGCCTCCAAAGCAAAAGGTGCCGCCGTGAAATTAGCCGATTTCGGACTGGCCATTGAAGTGAACGACAGTGAAGCATGGCACGGATTCGCTGGAACTCCAGGATACTTGTCTCCAGAAGTACTCAAGAAGGATCCATACTCAAAGCCAGTTGATATCTGGGCGTGCGGAGTCATCCTATACATTCTTCTCGTCGGATACCCACCATTCTGGGATGAGGATCAACACCGTTTGTACGCCCAAATCAAGGCCGGAGCCTACGATGTGAGTTGTAAAAATTTAAAAAAAATCATCTGAAAATTCTAATTTTCCAGTACCCAAGTCCGGAATGGGATACTGTAACCCCAGAGGCTAAGAGCCTTATCGACAGCATGCTGACTGTCAACCCAAAGAAGCGTATCACTGCTGATCAGGCCCTCAAGGTCCCATGGATCTGCGTATGCCTCCTACTCTAGAAAAATGTTCAGAATTCTAAAAATTCCAGAATCGTGAACGTGTTGCTTCTGCGATCCACAGACAGGATACTGTCGACTGCTTGAAGAAATTCAATGCTCGACGGAAGTTGAAGGTACGTTTTGCTTTGCAGACACAGCTTCTGATCCTTGACTCTCATTTCTCTCAAATCTTTAAATCTCTTGAAAACTCTCAATCTCTTTTTTCTTTTCTTGAAATCTTAATTTTTTCCAAAGTTATGTAGGTGCGCGAACGAGAAATATTTGGTTCTTCGATTTTTTCTAACTGCATATTTATATGTATTAGTAGTTATTGTTATTATTTTTTTTGGCTAATTTTGATGGCATTTTGGAATCTCATTTTTTTTAAATATTCGTTTTCGGCTTCATGAGTAATAATCTTTTTTATATTTTTTTGGTTCTAATTTTGAAATTTATGCTGCATGCTAAATGAAACCATAATGTTGTTACTGACACGAAAATAGGTTTGTAATATTTTGAATTTTTTGGTACTGACAAAATGAAAATGGAGGAAGGGGATCTGAAAAAAATGGAGAGTTGAACAAACTTTCAAACAGAATTCTGAAAGTTTCTAAAAGTTGAAGTTAAGGCTTCCATTTCGGCCGATCGAAAATCGGCGACCGCCGACCGCATCGACCGGATTTGCGCATTCTGAAAAAAGCTTAGGTCACGAAGTTGTATATTTTTATTAAATCTTTCAAATAAATATCTTCAATTGAGCCTAGATTTATTTTTCATATTTTCCGAGAATCTCCCATTCCATGTCAGATTTCCTTCTAACCCATTTTCACTGATATTCGACCAAACATTCATTCAAAACCATAGCGTGTCGTGCCAGCAAACATAACCGTTCAACATTTGCGCTTTCTGTTAGATTCCTAGAGCTACAGTACTAGACGGCCATCCATTTAGTTTCCTTTTTCTCTTCCCAATTCTCTTTCTCTCTTGTTCATTTTTAAAATTTCCAATCAATAGAAGACTGATAATCGTAATTTGATAATAATTATAAGTGTGAATGAGAAGAAACTGCGCTGCAACGCATGCATGCCTGTATTTTTCTGTGTCGTTTTTTGTCTTGTGCTCTCTCTCTCTCTCTCTTCTTCCTTCTTCTTCTCCATCTTTTCTTCTTCCCTATTTTTAGACCTATTCTTTTCTACCTTCCGATCCTTTACCTTCTTTTGCACTTCTTTGTGTCGTGTGCTCTCTCTATTCTTCTCTGTCCTTTCTCCTTGTTTTTTGAAGTGTTTTTGAGTCTTCCTCCGAGAAAAAAACTGTAAGAAACTAAACTTTTTGGAAAAGCATAATGCAAAATATCCTAAATTTCAAAAAGTCAAATCTTGTGCTCTTCTTCTCCTTCTTCTTCTCTCTACTCGTTTTTTTCTACATATTAGGCGGCAATATCGGCTGTCAAAATGGTGACCCGTATGTCGGGGGTGTTACGAACCTCCGACTCGACAGGATCAGTTGCATCGAACGGATCGACGACGCATGACACGTCACAAATCGCCGGAACGTCATCACAGCCGACCAGTCCCGCCGCTGAGGTATACCCATGTTCCCCCGCCCCCATGAATCCCTTGTCCCACTTCCTGAAATGAGTATTTATTCCCATTCCAAATGCAAATCACCCTATTGTTTTGAAGTGTGATACACAAAACCCGGAACCCACACATGAAATCACAGAATTACACAACACAAATTTTCCCTATTTTCTTTGAAAAAAACACACAGAAACAGTGATGTTAAAGCTTCTAAAGAAGAACTGGGTTGAAAAAGGCGAGGATACCGTAAAACCTGTAATAGGGCCCTCTAACTTTGAGCCAATTTATCTCGGTTACTGTCAAAGGTATAAAAAAGTTGTCAACTAATGAAATTTTTGTGATATTATGTTAAACATTTTATCAGTTGACAAATTTTTTATATCTTTTATAGGAAATGAGATATATGTGCTCAAAGTTGATGCTTCGAGTGGCGCTCTGTTACAGTGATCAAAACATGTTCCCCCGCACATTTTCAATTCAAATCTTCTTTTTACTAACACATCCAAAAACTCACAACTCGGAAAAAAACAAAACTAACCAATTTTCTCACCCAACACACACTCCCTAACCCCCTCTTTTCTCTTCTCAAACACCCCTTAACCAACCTGTGTCCAGAACTAAAAAAATCCAAAAATTCACCCAAAACTTTTTTTGCGGTTCCATATATAGTCCCTATGTGTTGTTGTTTCTTGAAGTGGCATTTCAATTTTTATATTCTAGAGAAATTCCAGAAAAAAAGACAAGAAAAAAAAAGAACTACATGGAAACCCCCGAATATGAATTTTACCGATCTTTTTTCATTTGTTTCTTGTTTTTTTGGTGATATCTTTTTTATTTATTTTTTGAGAATGGTCTGTCTTTTTCAATTTTCCCTCGCTTGACGATTTTTAAGTTCTGTTGAGTTCCAAACATTTAGAAGCTTTTAAAAACTTTTTGGAGTCATCGATTTTGTCATTTTGAATTTTGGGATTCTAGGTCCAGGTTCGATATTTTTAAATTTTGAGATTCCTAGGTTGTTACATTAGTGAAATCCTGAGATTTAGAAGTTTTACAAATTCTGAATTTCTATATTCTAAAAACCTAGGAAAACCTAGGAACTTACCGTATTCCCTCTGGTAGAAGTTCACCCAAATGGTCAACTTTGAGCTCAAGTATCTTGATTTCTGTGAAAGATATCAACAATTTGTAAACTGATAAAATTTTGATGATAATATGATTAACAATTTATCAGTTGACAGATGTTTGATAACTTTTATAGGAACCGAGATACATGAGCTCAAACTAAAAAGATAGGGTGGCTCAAAGTTGAGGGTTTCGGTGAGCTTCTATTAAGGGAAATACGGTATTTAAGATTCTAGAGTTAAAAAAAGGCAAAAATAAACCAAAAAGTTGAACAAAAAGAGACCATTTCCTCATTTTTTTCTTTTCCCTTCAAAATCCTTTTCCTCTTCTTCTAGTCCTTTATTTTATGTCATGTTCTCTTACCAACCCTGTCCTATATTCCCTTTTTGTCCTTTGATTTTGCATGATTTTTTTTGCAAAAAAATTCACCCCACCAATTTCATCAGAAATCAACGAAAAAAACCAAACCGAATCCCCCAACCGATCAGTCTCTGTAGTGTGTGCTGTGTGTCCAGTTGTCCGTGATTATGACTCTTCTGTGGCGCTTGCGAAATTCATGTCAACAAAACGATGGATATTATAATTAGCTATAATTAAGCTTAATTAATTTTTTTCAAAAAAAGAATCCCTTATTTTTTAGCCGTCTCTCTATATATTATTATCATTCCATTATCCTCCTCTTCTCTCTATCAATTTGTTCAACTCTTTCCCAATTTTCTTTTCCATTTGATTTCATTTTTTCATTTTCTTTCCAAATCTAACCTATCCCTAAGTTGATATTGTGATCCCATCACTTATCTTCAAAAGCAAATATCTCTTCAAAAATGAGAAAAGTTCGGTAAAAATCATCCGGATCGATCATCCAAGTCTCCGTGTTTCTTTTTTCTTTTCAGTGTTTTTTTTCATTGATCTAACCGCGCTTCCTCATTTTTTAATTACATATAATTTTTTATATATTTTCACTTCAAATATTAATATAACTATAATTAATAACCACCGCTGAAAGCAGCCTATCACACATCACCTAAAACAAAAAAAATCAGTTTTTGCCGCTTTATCCAAACCAACTTTTTAATTTTCATTCAATTGTTTATTTTGTATTAAAAACATTCCTTTTAGTTACCTTTTTGCGGGAAAAGGCACCTCACCACCTATATAATAATTATGGGATAAACGAACTTTCCGGAAATTTCAAGATTCTATTTTTTATATTTTCAGGGAGCAATTCTCACGACGATGATCGCCACGCGCAACCTATCAAGTAAGTTCTCCTGTGAAAATTTTAAAGAAGTTTTGGTATAGTGTGATTTGATTTTCTTTTGAGTTGATGAATGTTAGAGAGTGTTATATTCTTTTGGTTTTTGTGTAATTTTGTTGAGTTTTTTGAAAAAAAAAAATCAAGACCAAGATCTAGGTAGGTGGAGTAACAACTTTTGGGTCCCACCATGAAAAATGTTAAAACTACCGTGACTTTGCCAATTTTGCTTCAAATCCCATAACACCAATATTGTTTTATTTGGCTGAAAAAGAGCTTCAAAATGAGTATAGTCATGACCAACTTTGGAAAATTTTTGAGGTTTTGACCCCTATGCGCCTTCAAAGTCAAATTTTTAATTCAAAAGAACGTAGTCGTGTTTATACTCATTTCAACGCTCCTAATCTCACAAACGTGATTTTTCTAAAAATTTTGAGTTTATGTCCAAATTAGCTTTAATACGGTAGTTTACGGAAAATTTGGACTTTGTAATTTGAAGGATGACTAATTGCTTAGATGCTTACAATTAAGGATGCTTCTATTGGGAAGGCGAGAGAGAAATTAACTGACGTTCCAATAGAGCGCCTTGGGAATGACGCAAATCCGCTCTGTTGCCAACATTCTCGATTTTTGATGTTTGGGATTACTGTAGTTTCTACGATCACCGAGTCCTTCAGGCACAAAAAATAGAACATCTCAAGTTGTAAATAGAAAAAAAATGCCTCTCGCTCTCTCACTCATCTTTTATTTACGCATTTTTGCTCCATCTCTTATCCGAACAGATTTTAGTTTATAATCTGGATTCCGGGTCAATACATATATGGGAGAATGTCTGAAGATATGTAACTACGGTGCTTCTTTTGCTTCTCTCATTCTTCTTCGGTTCAATTCGTGTCTCTTTTTGTTTGGGGTCTCACCTGGAAGACAAGTAGATTCCTAAAATCAATCATAACAAGATTAGAAGAAATGGAAGAGAGGGAGGAAAAAATGAGAGGAGAAAGTGTGGATATCTATATGATGGACTCTTCTTGGGCTCTAATCCTTTCGAACCAATTGGCTTCCTCCTCCTTCATCACTCTCAATCATTTTTCTTCATTCCCTCTGCTCTCGTCGCAAATACTCTAGCTCTCTCTGGCTCGAGGAGCCGATCCACAAATCTTTACACAAAAATCATTTCCATCTTTCCCTTGTTTTCTATCATCAAGCCCATCCTTCTTCTGGACACTGCCGAGGAGAGGGCACAACACAACACAAAACAACACGAAATTTATTGATGTGATCAGTTTTTTCGCCGGGAAGCCATTGTGTCTATATCTCTATTCCTCTCGTTCTCTTATTACCATTTTATGGAGGACAACACATACCAACGAAAACTATATATTTGCACACCTTTTCGCTTTCCTTCTCTCTTCTTTTCTGATTCCCCACGTCTTCTTCCTATCCTTCGTCTTCTTGTTCAACGTCATCAAATACTATCAGAATGAGCCATAACTATGAATCCGCCACCACGTCTTCTCACACTTCAAGCACTACTAAAAAGATCGCCAACGCGATTGCCGAACTAGTCAGTCGTCGATCCTCTCCGTCGATTCGTCGAAAAACCGAAGCCGACGTTTTGAATAACTCTGCACGTGGACGAAAGGTGTCGGCTCCTGGAAATCTGCAGCACGCTCTAGTGCCGTGCATCGATGTAGTTGTGGCGACGGGTGCACTTGCCAGCTCATCGGTTGAGAATATTTCAGCATCGACGAGCAGAGATTCAGGTAAGGTCAGATTCCGAAGAGGGGTGTAGGATTATAGGATTAGATTGCTTTCTATTAGAAACAGAAAAATAATTTGATAAATAACATTTTGAAGGACCAACAGCAAATTTTGTAGTTCTTATTGAGTTGGCATTTTTAAGAATGGATTAGGGTAGATGGAAAATGAATCTGTCGACGTCGTTTCTCTGATTCATCAGCATTTTGAGGCTTTAAACGATTTTGAGTGGCCTTCTACATTTTAGATTGTTTTCGGTATACACAAACAATGTGTTTTCAAAAACATTTTGAAGACATATTTTTCCTCTGGAATCGTCTATTTCATTCGTGTTTTCTCTAGAATTACAGTACTCAGTACCCATACTTCCCTTTTCTCTCTATAATCCGAACACCAGCTCCGCCATACCATTCTCTATGACCTCATTGATGACTAATCACCGATTGTCGCATTATTTGATCATTAAAACGTTTGGTCATAATCAAATTTCTTCAAAGTAGGTCTCATGCCCTTTCTTATCTTTCCTGTGTCCCTTTCTTCTATCGTTTTGTGTTAGCATATACAGCGGAAACGACTGATTCGTCATCCCCTCTCCCCGATGAAAGGTCATTCAAAGTTTTTCTTCGTCTGAAGAAGAAGAAAGGAAATTTAGAAATGCATTGAGACTTCCCATTTCTCTATTCATAGTCTTCTTCTTCTCAAAAAAAGAAGAATCAAAAGAAAATGGAGGAAATGAAGAAAAATAGTGTCTAACGGAGCGAAGAGACGGTAGTCAAGGAGATCAAGAAAGCATATTTGGGCCGAGAGAGGGGCTCACCTTGAAATGCATACATTATTATGAGTGTCTCTATAGGCTCTGTGTTTCCTCTGCCACACCTTCTACTTTTTTCTTCTTCTTCCAAACAGTGGAGTGCCTCTCTAACATGATACTTCAGAGACTAGAGAGATGGAGGGAAAAATACGAGGGCTTTGCCTTTCTTTTCTCCTCCCCTCCCGGTTAAGGCGATGAACGACCACGGCAACCGCGACGCTTAGCCGCGACGCATTGTCACCCATTCGCGCAGCGAGGCCCTGACTCCCTTATCTTATCAGTTGAGGTGAAGAGTGAGAGACAGAGACGCAGACATACTGAAAGAGGCGGGCAGTGGCGAATTTCCATTTTTCTAATGTTTTTTGCTTGAACACCTTTCTTCTTCGTTCCCTCAATACCGCCATCATGGACGGTTTGCTGGCCCGTTTAAAATTGGGAAGCAAGAAAAGAAAGAAGGCGTCTTCGGTGAAAAGGAGCCGTCCAGAAAGTGCCCGTCAGGCGCCAAGAGACATTTCTGGATCCCTCTATTCTGACTTGACTGCCTCGTCGTCTACCGTATCCGCCGCGTCGGCTCCAGACTTTATCGCGGAGCTCAAAAAAGAGAAGGCGGAACAGACAAAAGAGAACAACGTGGAGAAGGTCTTAGTACCTGAGGAAAAGAAGGAAACGGATCTTGGTAAGTATGTTTTAGAGAGTGGGGAACAACGATCTAATAGCTTCCTCTCCTCTTTCAGTTTCTAATAGTAAGAGCAAATATTTTCTCTTTCCATGAGTGATGGTTCTCATTTCTTTCTCTCTGTGGATCCTATAGATCTCTCTATATCCTTCTTGCTCCCGCCGGGAAAGAGACTTTTACACTGCTCTATCTCACTCTCTATCTTTCAATTCCACCACATAGAAAACAAATATACACGTTTTAATCCCCGGGAAAATTGCAAAAAGAGGAAGGCACAAGAAATCAGAATGTCTCGATGATCGAACTGATTGAACATGTTGCTAATGCGATTGCCTTTTTACTTGCCATCATATTCTGTATATTCTTTCTGAGAACTCCTTCTTCCTCTTCTTTGAATCCTACCCGAGCTTCTTCTTCTCCAGTTAAAGAAACAACGGGTTAGCATTTTTTTTCTTCTTCTTCCTTTCAAAAAAATCCCTCCCATTGGGATAACACATTAGGGACGGACTGGTGTGTATCTGATTACATTTCGTTTTGTCCTCTTCTTCTTTAAGCCAAAAAATTGTGTGTTTCGACCGAAAAGAGAGGCAAAAACTTTGGGGTGAACCCTGACAAAACACGTTGTCTCCCGATTTGTGTCATCATCTCTTCTCATCAGATATTTCATACATTTTTTACCGAAAAAAGTGTACATACATAGAAACACCACTCTATCTATCCCTTCTCCTTTTCCGATTTGAGAAACTAGAAGAAGAAGACGCCTGATCAATGAATGAACTTCTTACGGTTTAGTGGAAAGTGTAAGTTAATTGGATTAGAAAAGAGAGAGAGAGAGAGTAGTAGACTGCTGCTGCAAACTTGCCCTAGTGGCCTTTGATCCGAAAAAGGACTAGGATAAAGTACACCCATATTATCGGGGTTAGTCTTGGATAATGCGCTCTACTGAGCTCAGCAAATAGGTCGTCATCATTCTCAGATTATCATGTGAATTGAACTTTAAATTGTACTAATCGGTAAGCTGAAAATCTGAAAAATACTGTAAACTCTTTCAGCTCAATTATCTCAAATTCTATAAAAGATAACAAAAACCTGCCAACTAATAAATTGTTTATCATAATATCATCAAAATTTTATCAATTTTCACCTTTTTGATATCTTTTACAAAAATTGAGATACTTGAGATCAAAGTGCAAGTCTATAGTGGACTTCTATTAGGGGAAAATCTTGGTCTTGAAAACAAAACTTCATGAATGAGAGTGCTGAAATCTTTGATTCAGAAGAAAGCGTTGTAACTCTGGATGTTTCTGTCTATTGATATTATTTAAGATTTAGGCCGCAATCTGCTCAACAAGAAAGAGCAAGGACCACCATCGACGATCAAGGAGTCGTCCGAATCATCCCAAACCATCGATGACAACGATTCGGAAAAAGGTAACGAGTGATTATGTTATCTCTCTATTTCTCTCCATTTCTCTAATACTCTCTTCATTCTCTATAATCTCTCTTCCTCTTTCTTCATTTAATATTTTTCTGAAAACCCTAATTTAACTACTAGAAAATCTCATTGAGCAGAAAAAAAAGAAATTCAATTTATTAGCAAATATAGCATTCCTTTCAACCAAAAAAACCAACGAAAAAAAACATTATTCAATTTTCTCTGATAATCAAAAAAGGGTTAGTTTTTTTTTCTCTTTCACTGCATCCATCCTCCGCCCCCACCTGCTTATCCGCAGAGACCAATCAAAGCCCCGCCCCCTCTCTGTGTTCATGTGTCTGTCAGTCCCGATGTCCATGTACTACGATGCTTCGAATGTTTCATCAAGAAATCCCCCTTTAATGATTATCCCCCATCCACCTAAAAAAAATCTCACTCTTGTACCCTATAACACCAAATAAATGTTTCATCGTGTGCGTCGACTTTTTTGCGATTCCGAGGAGTTTAAAATTATGATGTTGCCAGAGTTTTTAAAATCTTGAAAATCCTTTTTTACCTCTAAATAGTGCATCTTTGAAAAGTCAAAAAGTCAAGTGGACAGATGAGAACAAACCTCCAGAAATTTTTCTTGCATTGTTTTCCAGGGAACATTTCTTTCTCTCTCTATTTCTCGCTGTCTCCTCTACTCTCTCACTTTTCTTCTCTCTCTACTTCTCATCTGTCTCATTCACGGATGCACTATTTCTCTCTATTCTTCTGGCAACACACACAGTTTTTTATTACCTCGAATCGTGAAACGTCTCGCACACAACTTATCACTTATTATCTGTTTAATTATGGATATTTGTGGTCTAGAATTAACTAGGCCATGAATTTTCTAAACGAACAGGTAATAAGCGAAGGATAGAGTATAGAGCAAAAGGGAATCAAGCTTATTATTGTGGCTGAAGTAAGAATCCATTGATTGTGAAGCTGTTTTCTGGTATCTGATGATTCGTCTCTTTTTTCAGGCATGATTTTTTTACTGGAAAAATATTTAAAAGGCACGATCGGTTCTCCTCATGTCTATCAATTGGCTGATTCCGCTTTTGCTTATTATTTTTTTTTCTATTCTTCTATACTTCTTCTGATTCAGAAATCACTGCTTCTCTGTCTGTAGAATACTTTGAGAGATGGTTTGGGTGATTGGGTAGCGACGAGTTTAAGATAATATCAATTGGATAGATTGTAATCGCAGGTTCCAGAAGTTATCGTAGTCTGAAGCATCATTTTCTGTTTTTTCGAATAATGAGAACTTGATATACCATAATAGAACGCCACCCCATACTGTCAAGTTTGAGCTAGCTGAATTATCTCAATTTCTACAAAAGATAACAAAGATCTGTCAACTGATAAAATATTTGTCATAGTATCACAATCATTTTGTCAGTTGGCATATTTTTTATATCTCTTATGGAAATGGACTTAATTGAGCTCAATGTGAAAGTATATGGTGGCCTTTTGTTAAAGTGTTTACGGTATATCTGCAGGTTTTTGAAGTTACAGTAGCCTAAAGTATTAGTTTCTCATTTGTCTAATTTAATATTTTATAACCAGAAGTTAGGAGTTTGAAATCAGTAACCTGTAGTCGAAATAAAGTAATCTGTAGTCAAATCCAGTCTTGTCTAATATACCAGATACTTAAATACTGAAAACTATAAGAAGTTTTAAAATATCGTTTTAAGAAAAACCAATTAAAATACCTCACTTCTGAAAATCAATGTCTTTAAGCTATTTGTTCCCTACGAAGACAACCGTAACCCAAACTACAGTAACCCATACTCATCCACTCAAAGTATTGGCCTTCCTATCACTATCTCACTCTATATACGATCTATTTATCTCTCTTTTCCACCCTATCATATCCAAAACAAAAACAAACAGCTATCTCGAATTTCCAAAAAATATTTTCAAAAAACCTGAATCTTTTCTTTGCTGGTGCTCAGGTGGTGGACAGCTGAAACACGAGAACACAGTTGTCCGTGCGGATGGCGCCGTCGTCTCGTCATCCAACTCATCTACAGCCAGCAAGTCGTCTTCAACAAATTTATCAGGTAATAAACCAAAAAAAAATCACACGGCTTGCATCTCTCTCCTAACGAATTTATATTTAATGTTGTGCCAAATGTTGTTATGCTTTTAATTTCTAACACACACTCACGAAAACCAAGCATGGCTTATTTTTTCTTTTTTATTTCAAATTTCCAAAGCTTGCATAGAGCATCGATAAGTGAGCAAAAAAGGGCATCGGAATGAGCACACAATAAACATTGGGGAAAAGAAAAAGAAAACAAAAAAAGAGTACTAGCAGCTATCTGGTTCAGGGATCTCCCTCCCGAATGTTTTCTTGTCATGGGAATCTCTGCGTCTCCTATCTATTAACACAGTATTTTCGGATATTTTAGATTTTAACACGAAGAGAAGAAGAAGAAGAAGAAGAAGACACGTCGTTTTCTTTTTCTGTGTGGCTCATTCCCCCCGTTTCTCTGTGCTCTTCCATCTATCATTCCTTCCCTCCAGCAGCTCGTTCTTCTCCTTCTTTTTCCATCCTCTTCTTCTTCATTTTTTCATCTTCTACTTATCTCTTCTACTTGAAATTATTATTGTGTTCCTTTTCCTTCTTTCTAATTTGCAACAGAAATGAATGGTAAGATAATTTTCCTGGTGTGTCATTATTATTTTGGCATGGATCATTGTAATCATTATAATCACAAGAATACATACACACAACTCACTTTGATTTCGTTTTCTCTGGAATGTTGTGATGTAATGTGCAAGAAAAAACAAACGAGTTTCTAAGATCATAAAAAATTCCTCACTTTTGAAACCAAAATTTCAATAATAACAGTAAACACTTCAATAGGCGGCCACCCTATACTTGCATTTTGAGCATATATATCTCGATTTCTGTGATAGATATCAAAAAGTTGTTAATTTATAAAATATTTGTTATCTTATGGCAAACTTTTTATCAGTTGACCACTTTTTTATATCTTTTACATGAACCGAGATATAGGGCTCAAAGGGACAGTATAATGTAAAGGGCTGCCTTCGGTTAGAGTGTTTACGGTATCTGTTTCACAAAATCAACTCTCTTGGTTTCAAATAAAAATAAACTTTTTCATCAAACTTTAATCAATGAAATCTGAACTATACACTATTTTTATTTTTTCCGTTTTCAGCTCAAAAACAGGATATCGTACGGGTGACTCAAACGCTGCTTGATGCCATCTCATGCAAGGATTTTGATACGTACACGTGAGTTTTTTGAAGGATTAGCTCATCAATAGACTTCTGATTATGTACCCAGTTTTCCTGAAAAGACCTGAATTCAAAAATTTTTCAGAAGATTATGCGACACTTCGATGACATGCTTCGAGCCGGAAGCACTTGGCAATCTTATCGAAGGCATCGAATTCCATCGATTCTACTTTGATGGTGAGCCCTGTTTGGGGTCTTCCCTCTTGCAAATCTGATTTTCAAATCACCAAAAATTGAATTCTTTCGCTCAACACCAACGAATTCTTTCAGGAAACCGAAAGAACCAAGTGCACACCACAATGCTCAATCCGAATGTGCATATCATTGGAGAAGACGCCGCATGTGTTGCCTATGTGAAGTTGACACAATTCCTGGATAGGTTCGTTTTCTTTTTGAGAATTGAAATTTAGACGGCCGAAAAAAGAAAAGTCAGCGCGGAGAAAAACAAACAAACACTCATTTGTAACATGATCTCTACTAGTCTCTCTTTTTGTTACTAGTTTCACTTTGTGTGACGTCTTCTAGAAGGTTCTACATGAAAGGTTCAAGACATTTTCACAAATACCAAAAGATCATGGAAACGGGTTGATCTAGAATTCTGGAGGATAACGAGAATATTAAATGGGTTGCACTTTTTCAGTGACGAATTGGAACGTTTTGGCTAATAGAAAATTCTGTGAATGTGGGTAGAATTATGTACAGATGGCATGCGAAGTTCCAAGTCTCAGTTTCCTACAATCAAAAATTCTTTGAAATTCGAAAGCAAAAAATCTAGTGGCTCCGAATCGAGGATATCTAGGTGGCCGGATTTCAACAAAATTTATGTTATAGGATTATTAGATTTCTAGCAATCTAGGATTCTTATGATCTATGATTCCATGGATCCGAGGCCCTTATATAAAAATGTTTCGGGGAAAAATGGGTGTAATCAGGGGGAGAAACCTAAACTTCCAGGCACGGTTTTGTCAGCCAGTTTTTACACATTTGTATACGGTCATGAGAAAAACTGTAAGGCACATGATTGTGCAATTTAGGGTCCGCCCCTGACTCCGCCCACTTTTCCCGGGATCGTTTTCTTCCGAATTCGAGGGGCTTCATGGATCCTTTGAATTTAGTTTTATTCCTCGTATCTGCGATTTCTAGAATTAGTAATATTTTGGACATACCACCGATCTAACTAGTAGGGGATCTGAAAATCAAGAATTCTGAAAACCTAGAATTCTGCAAATCAAGAATTTAGGTGAATTCCAAAAAAGCGCCAGAGACAGGCCTGCTTGCAAGGCCATGCCAAACGGCCCATGACCGCGGCCGGTCATGGCACAGCTTTGCCTGCTTGTCTCATCCTTTATCTCAAGACACAAAAAAGAGGAAAACAAAAGATTGATCAAAATCTCAGCCACAAACAAACCTGATCTCTTTCTTTCTACTTTTATCTCAATTTCATCTTTCGTTCTTTCAGAAACGGAGAAGCACATACTCGTCAGTCACAAGAATCACGTGTCTGGTCGAAGAAGCAGGGTCGTTGGCTGTGTGTTCATGTGCATCGATCAACACAACCATCAACGAATACGACCGTTTCCGAGTTCTAGACTCTTCTTCGAAAGATATCTTTATATTTTCCAAAACAAAATTCTTGTTCTTCCTGTGTTTTTTCGTCCCGTTTCTCCCTCATCCCATCAATCCATCCCCCAATGAAAACCATCATCATTTAGGCAATATTTTCTTGAGCCATTTCAATTTCAGTTTTGATGACCAAAAAACAATTCCCTCCTCTAGCATTATCTCTATTTTTCTTTTTCTTTTTTCTCGTGTCTTTTCAATAATCTAAAAAAGGCTTAATTTTCCACGACACAGTTATTTGTCTCATCTTCTCAGATATCGTCTTTGGGTGACTTTTTTTTCTCAACATTACATTTTTGTGTTCTCCTGCGCTCTTCCTTGCTCTTTCTTTCCAGAACAAACCCCATTTGAATACCATCGTTTTACTACAATATAGCATTTTTCTTCTTCGTTTTTCTAATCTCAACCCTATTCTTTGAAACGCTTCTTTTTAATTTATTTGTGAAAATCCCCCCGCCCCCATATTACAGTGTATTCACTTCCCCCTTAAAATTCTGAATAGTTTTCCCCCAATTTCCCCATTTTTTTCCATCAAATCAAGGTCCTAACAAAAATCCCCTTCCCAACGCCCACCACAACACACATGTGAATTGTATTTTATAATTTCTTTTTTTTTTTGGAATATTCCATCTGAAATTCCCAATTATCAAGAAAGCATCACAATCGTTTTTGTTTCACTCATTGTTGTCTCTTCTCAAAAAAAAAACAACAACTCAAAATTCTTTTCAGTATACGATTTCTAAACCATTTTCGCTCTTTCTGTGTTTTCAGTTTGTGTGTATACAGATTTTTATTGACGATTATGATAACAATGAATGTATTTTATTTGTGATTTTCTACCACATTTTCTACCACCTTTCAGATTACCCCATTCTTAGCTGTTCCAGGTGGTACCGGCCGAAATTTTATTGATGCTGCCTATTTTGAGTTGAAAATAGCCAACTTTAGATGCCTACAAAATATAATAGATTTTGTTGAACCAGTCAGAAGTTTTTCAGACCTACTAAACAAAAATAATATTTAAGAAAAATATAGCTTCCATTTTGTAGTTGATAACTTTTTTGTAAAAAATCATCAAAGTGAGATATACTGCATGAATCCAAGCAACTGCCGAAACATCCAGAAATAGCAGAGTTCAGTGTCTAACAATTTTCAGTATCATCCAACAAGAACTACGATACTTTTTAGACATTCAAAGTTGGAAAAATTTTGGGGTCTTATGGGTACAAAACAGTCAAAACAGTTGCGTACAAAATAACTGGAAGAATGAATTTTGTCGAATTTCGCTAATATTATTTTTTCTCCGTTTGTACCCCCGAATTGTTGTACCCTCCAAATTACGTGCCGTATTTACTCTAACAGGAGCCCATCCAAACCGTCAACTTCAAGCTCCAGTATCTCGCTTTCGGTAAAAGATATCAAAATTTTCTCAACTAATAAAATATTGGTGATATTATGATAAACAATTCATCAGTTGACAACTTTTAAACATATTTTACTGCAATCGAGATAGTTGAGCTCAAACTTGACGGTTTGGGTGGGCTTCTATTGTAATAGAAGAAATACGGTATCCTCCTTCACTCTACTTTTGATTTCTGATTGTCTTTCTTGTTTATCACATGTACATTTGCATTTTGTTGTTCGATCCTTCCAAATATATGCATCACAGTTTTTTGCTATCAATATCGCATCCCATGATATTTTAACGACCCCATTATTCTTCCAACCCAACTATAAAAGCATCCTGTATTTTTCTAACTGTTTCTCTTCGTTTCATATCCAACATGAACTTCTTCCGTTTCTCCGTCTTCATCCTAACCTTGGCAATGGTTTTGACAATTGGTTCTTCTCAAAAATATCGTAGATCAAAGGCAGCAAGACTTGGAAGCAGTGTAAGATGTTTTAAGGATTTATTGGAACTACAAAATTCATATTTAGTGGGTCCCATTCAAGAAGTAAGTGACGAAGTGAGTCATTGCTGGATGCATCTGATAATTGGTTGTATTCTGAATTTGAATAAACATTTTGTGGCGATAAGTGTTTGTTCTAAAACCAAGCAAAAGTTACAGAGTTAACCTAAATCCTATTAAAAAAGCCAGCCCAACAAACCCGTGAAACTCTGAAATTCAAATTTTTATTCAAAAAATGTTTCTTGGATCCAACTTGAAGCGTTAATTTGTTTATTTCTCGTCAAATAACGCTCCAAGGAGTGGCCGTTTCCGGGAAAGTTAGCCACTAACGATGGCCTATCGCGGATTGAATTTGATTACTCGACAAGCGATTGTTCGTTCGACTTTTCGACATGCCAACCTTCTTACTCGGAATAATGTAGGCTGGACATTTAGGCTCGGACCTCTATTTTGTTTGTTTAGATTTCACTAATTTGCCACGATCGTGGATTCTTCTTCGGAAAGCGTCGTGAGCCGAAATGCGATCTGAAGAACCAGTCGATAGTTCAGGAAGATGGTGGACGGAAAGCCGCGTGGCTGGGAGATGGACCACTTCATCATGGCTGGTTTGACGGAACACTCACAACATATACAGCAATCAGAAGAGGTCCAACTGTTGGTGGAAAAGAAATGTTAGGGACGAGAGTCATGAAAGATGGAAAACTGGAATGGAAGTGGATTACTTATGATCAGGCGATTGAAATGTCCGATCATGTTTCTCAGGCGATTCGGAAGTTGGGGATTGAAACAGGAGAAGAATCAAAGATCGGAATTTACTCCAAAAATCGGCCGGAGGTAAACTCTTTCTTTTCAGTGGAAGCTAGTTTTCTATTTCAGTGGGTTATCTCCGATATGTCTCTCCATAACTTCTCAAACGTCTCCGTCCCTCTCTACGATACAATCACCAACGACGACATGCACTACATCACAAATCTCTGTGAGCTCAAAATGATGTTTGTGGATCTAGAGGAAAAGACGAAACGTATGTTTTTTTAACTATCCGTTCTACTGTATCCCGTTATTCAGAACTTATCCGTGACAAATCCTATCTTTCCACTCTCAAATACATCGTTCAATACGACAAAGTCTCCCCGGAAACCAAAGAATTGGCTCGTGAGAATGACTTCCAAATATGGAGTTTCGAAGAGTTTATGGAGATGGGAAAACGAGAAAAACCCCGTCAACATGTTCCGCCAACACCAGAAACTCTTGCCACAATCTCCTTCACTTCTGGAACAACTGGAAGACCAAAAGGTGTCATGTTGACTCATCTGAATCTGTGCTCCGCTACAATGTCGTGTGACGAATTTGATCAGAAGGAAGGAGGAGATGGATACCTCTCGTATCTTCCGTTGGCCCATATTTATGAACGATTATGTACACTGGCCAACTTTTCTATTGGATCGTAAGATTTTTTAAAAATTAATTCGATATTTCAAAACTCGAAATGTACCGAACTTTTTTCAATTTTGCGAATATCCGCCGAAATTTTCCGAATTTTTAAAAACAAAATTTTTCCGGTTTTTTCAATTTTTGGAATATCCGAATCCAGAAAATTTTTCGATATGTCAAAAATCGGAATTTCGAAATTTTTCATATTTTTAAATATTCCAAATTTTCAGAAAAATTGGATTCTTCCGCGGTGATCCCACTCTTCTCATGGAAGATATTCAGGCTCTGGCTCCAAGATCCGTCGCCACAGTTCCACGTGTCATTGACAAGATTCACAAGGGAGTCATGAAACAAGTAGTGGATAAGCCAGTGAAGAGAATGATTCTGAAAGCTGCGCTCACTTATAAGTTGCATCATTATAAGATGACGTGAGTTTCAGGGATTCAGGAGCCCTTCGTATCTTGATGATTTCAGCGGAAAAGCTACTCGTGGAACTTGGGTCGACAAGTACATCCTTAATAAGATCCAGATGCTTCTCGGTCCCAACATTCGTCAGATCATCATCGGAGCTGCTAAATCGGATGCATCCTCTTTGGAATTCATGCGTGGTGCATTTGGAATCGAAGTTCTAGAAGGATACGGTCAAACGGAAACATCGGGTCCCACCACGATTCAACTCGTTGGAGACACCCGTGTCGCCTGTGTGGGTCCACCAATGGCGTGTTGTCTCATCAAACTTGTTGATGTTCCTGATCTCGGATACTTTGTGAATCAGAATGGAGGAGAGATTCTCGTTAAGGGATACAACGTCACTTCTGGATACTACAAGAATCCAGATGCCACGAAATCGGCTTTCACTGAGGATGGATACATGAAAACTGGAGATATCGGACGGTTCACACCAGAAGGAAGTCTTCAGATTATTGATCGTCGAAAGAACGTCTTCAAACTTCCACAAGGCAAATTCGTGGCACCGGATCTCATAGAGACCCTTTATACTTCTTCAAGATTTGTGCAACAGATTTATGTTCATGGTGATCTTCAGAAGCCGTGGCTGGTAGCTGTGGTGGTTCCAGATCCAGATGTAAGGGTTCTCAGAAAGACTATAAAACTAATTTCTGCTAATTTTTGAATTCCAGCATCTTGCCGGATACGCCAAACTGAAGCACGGAATTAAAGGAAAAACGTATGAGGAGTTGTGCAATACTCCAGTGCTCGCTGAAGACTGCCTCCGTCATTTTGTTCAATTGACAGAAGGACACAAGCGACCGAGATATGAAGGGGTGAGAAATTTTGAGATTGCTGAAAATCTGAAATTTCTAAAAAATAATGTTCCAGGTCTACGCCGTCCATCTGACACCAATTGCATTCACAGCTCAAAATGGACTGACGACTCCAACATTGAAGAATAAACGGAACGCGTTGTCTCAATTCTTCAAAACGGATATTGAGAACATGTATAAGAAGATTGAAGCCACTGAACTCACTGAACTTGCTCAATAAATTTGCATCTCAATGAATTTGAATCTTGAAATTTTCAAGCCATAAGACTTCAAAATCTTAGAACTTCAGAATCTCAGAATCTCAGAATATCAGAATGCCAAAATTTATGAATTTCCGAATTTCAAAACTTCAAAATTTCGAAATTCCAGAACCATAGAATTTGAGAATCTTGGAACCTCAAAAACTCAAAATTTCGAAATTTCTGATTTCTATAATTTAAGAACCTGAGAATCTAAGAAGTCCAAAATCTCAGAATCTCAGAATTTCAAAGTTTCAGAATCTCACAATTTCAGGATTTTAGAATTTACAATTCTCAGAATCTCAAAATTTCTGAATCTCAGAATCTCAAATTCTCAAGTTTTCAAAATCTCAAAACTTCAAAAGCTTTAAAATTCAGAATCTCAGAATCTTCAAATTTAATAAATTCGGAATCTCCAGAATTTCAGATTTTCATAATCGTAGAAACTCTGAACGTCGAAATCTCAAAGTTCCAAATTTCAAAATATCAAAGTACCTAAATTTCATAATCTCAAAACATCAGAATTTCAGAATCTCAGAATCTCAATTTCTCAAATTTTCAAAATCTCAAAATTTCAGAATCTTAGAATCTCTGAATTTCAGAATTTCAAAATCACAAAAATCCAAATTCTCAGAATTGTTTAATTGGAATATGAATCTACTGTTCATTTACTGTTCAAAATGGATCCATGCCTTTCTACGATCGAGAAAAATTTGTGTTTCATTGTCTCCTACTATCGCATTCGTAGATAACAAAAACTGCCAAAAGAACATGTTATCTCTCTCCCCCATTTCGGTCATCTAGATAATGGTCAGTCGCAGGCATATTGATTTTCGCTTTCCTCGATTTGCCTTTTTTTTTTAATTTTGCATTATTACAGAACGTTATTCAACATGGTACAAAGAGTGGTGGTTTCCAAACTATTGAATTCTTCACGACCTCTTGTTTTCGGAATGATCCATGTCCCGGCACTTCCAGGGTATGTTTTTTTGAAACTGAAAATTCAAAAGGCAAGTTTCCAGAACTCCATCAAACACTCTTCCAATGTCTGCTATTCTGAAGAAGGTTCGAAAAGAAGCGGATGTGTATTTCAAGAATGGAGTGGATGGAGTTATTGTGGAGAATATGCACGATGTTCCATATGTTAAACCACCTGCAAATCCAGAAATTGTCAGTGCAATGTCATTGGCTTCCGATCAACTTGTGAAATCTAGAGATGCTCATCATCCGGGAGCACTAACCGGTATTCAAATTCTCGCAGCAGCCAATCGAGAAGCAATAGGAGTTGCCTATACAACTGGACTCGATTTCATCAGAGCAGAAGGATTCGTATATTCCCACGTGGCTGACGAAGGATGGATTGATGGATGTGCCGGAGGTCTTCTAAGATACAGATCTTCTTTGAAGGCTGATCATGTGGCAGTTTTCACGGATATCAAGAAGAAGCATAGTGCGCATTCTATTACTGCAGATGTATCAATTCAAGAAATGGCAAAAGATGCGAAATTTAACTGCGCTGATGGAGTAATTGTGACTGGAAGTTCCACTGGAAGTGCTGCAAGTACGGAAGAAATGAGCCAAGTTTTGAGAGGAGTTTCCGAATTTCCAGTGTTGATTGGAAGTGGAATCAATGGGAAGAATGCAAGAGATTTTGTCAAAGCTCATGGATTTATTGTTGGATCGGATTTCAAGATTGGAGGAGATTGGAAGAACGAACTGGAAGCATCAAGGATCACGAAGTTTATGAGACATGTTAATTCACTGAAGCGGTAGTTAGAGAAAATGAATCTTTATTAGAACTTAACTTTATATCCGTAATAACATTTGGTTTTTGAGAAAATGAAAGATATGAGAAATCAACGGAATAACAGTTAGACAGTTGTCACCGAAACAACTCCATGAATGCCATCAGGACGGGTACGACTGGAAAGGACTTCTCTGGTGGTGACGAATTCATCCATCACCATTGCTTCTTTTTGGCGAGCCAGCTTTTGTTGGGACATTTGGTAGATCACCTGGAAATTTAATACTGAAAATTTGCAATCCAGTTAAGGCTTTCGTTTCGGTCAGTCAGAAATTGTCTCCTACCGAGCGACCGCCGACCGAACTCGTGTGTATTTGGAGGTCAAGTGTTTGCGTACGCAGCATTGAAGTTCAGAAAATCAAAAAAAAGATTGTCGTGAAATAAAATGCTGCGTACGCAAACAGTCTCTAACCGACAGTCAGCTTGGTTGGATGTCGGTCGGCTGGGTCGGAGGTCGGTTGGTCGGTCGGTCGGTCGGCTATATTTACCGACCGGGCGGAAGCCTTATTTCACAAATCAGTTAGAAACATAAGTTATTGTTGAAAATAATATTTTCAGCAACTCTACCTGCTCCGACGGATGCGCTTTTTCCATCATTTTCTGTTGCAACTTCATCAATTTCTTCGTTTTTTCCCTCTCCAATATCCGCTTTCTTTCTTCTTTCGTATGAAATCTTCCGAGCTGGAAAATACAAGTATAGAGAATTCAGAATCATAGTTGCTAACCTTTAACTCGCTCATTGCATCATCATCCGTCGATATCGGAGCTCTTTCCCTGTACACCTGAGCCTCTCTCTTTTTCAAAATCTGACTTCTTATCGGCCGCTTAACAATATATCTTGATCCATCACATCGCCTCTTGACTTTCCATTTATAATGAACAGTTGTATCTCCTAAATCTGTCTTGGCTGCCATTTTTTCTTCGTCCACAACTTCTTCAATTTCTTCTTCTTCTTCTTGAGCATCAACTTGATAAACTTTTGTCTTTGTCTTCGATGATCGGAAATATTGGGGAACTGGAATCCGAAATGAACTTCTCTTCTTTTCTTCCTTCAAAACTACAGAATACGATGGAATTCTGAATCTCTTCGCATATTCTTCCGCTTCTTTTTCCTTCTTTTCACTCTCGTCTTTATTGCTTTTACTCGTCATTTGAATGTTCCTGGAAATCGATAATTTCCTCAAACTACTCCCTTTTAATGCTCCAAAAACTGCGGATGGTGCTCGGATGATGGATCGTGGCGTTTTTGTCGAAGACACCATGGAAGCGACGTCTTCAGGAATCGGAAGTTCTTGATGAGTTCGATGAATGGGTCGATTTATATGTTCAGGACTATCATGGGGAAGAAGAACAACAGTTGGAGGACGGGAGGAAATAGGAAGATTCTGTGGAAGTGGAATTGGACGACGTTGAACAGCTGGACTCGCCATTTTGACAGTTCGACGGAGGACTCGAGGAGACTGTTGTGGTTGGAGCATTTGAGAATTGCTAGAATTTTAGAAAATGGTATTGAGAGGACGAGTGCTACTTACCTGGTGGTAGGCACAAAAACTCCGTCCGGAGTCACTGAAACACTCCTACAGGATTCACCGCCCGTGTTGTAAGCAGATGACGTGTCAGCTGCTCCGTTCGGCCAACCAGAGCAACTCTGGAAATGGCATTTTTCAAAAATAGAGGATAATCATCGAAAAATTCTCTAACAGAAGTTCATCCAAATTTTCAACTTTGAACTCAAGTGTCTCGGTACCTGGGAAACAAATCAAAAAGTTGTCAACCAATCAATTGTTTATCGTAATATCACCAATACTTTATCAGTTAACGAGCTTTTTTTCTTTCACAAGAATCGAGATTCTTGAGCTTAAATTTTACTGTTTGGCTGGTCCCTATTTCATTTTTAAGATGTTAAACAAGAAGTACTAGTCATCTAGAAACAGTTATGTAGCTAATAAAACAAGTAATTCGTGTAGCTACATCTAGGTTTAACACTGATACGAACGAGAAGAAGCGAGCGATAAATCGAATCTCTAACGATCGGATAAACAAGTTCTTCTCCTCTTTTTTCCATGAGTTGTTTACCTGTGAAAGTGTGTGCTCGACGATAAGATGTTTATTGAGAAGGCGGTCACATTCAACCCGAAGAGATGCCATTTCTCGATGGAGAAGTGCCAATTTCTCGTCAATGTCTGGCGACGTGAACGATGCCATTTCTGGAAAAAAAATGGAATGGATAGGAATATGGAAATGAATCCAAAGAAGAAGCGAGTACAATTGAGTGGAGAGAAGATGGATAGGCTCGATCCTAGAAGAGAGGCCACCTGCACTTCTGGTTAGAACCAATAAATTCTTGAGAGGCAATAAAACACTTGGAGAACAACACGAGCAAAAAAAACAAGTGATATGGGTTTTGACCGATATAAAATATGAAGAAAAGAGAGAGGGAGCACACGGGCATCCGTGTCAAACTGACAAGAAAGAAAATAGAAGAAAATGAGAGAGAACGAGAGAATTGTTAAACCAAAAGTGATGAGTGAAGAAGTCTCTTTCTCCACCCGCTGGCACGTCGTAAATCTCGAATTGCAACACTTGCGTCACTTCAATTCGCAATTAATTTTCATTCGGTTGTGTTGCTCCTCGGCCATCCATCCGTTCGTTTCAATACACATATGACATATCTTTTGCTCTTTTCATAGAGATGATTATCACATTGAAACAAAGGGAGGGGCAATGACAATAGATAAGGATCATATTAAAACTTGTAACTTTTTTTTTTGATTTGTGGATGTGATTTTGTTTTCACACCTCGACACCCGGACAGTTGTTGGGGAGGGTGAAATGAAAACTTTGATAGAGAAAAGGATATCAGATTTCAAAAAAAAAATTTTTAATTGTAAAAACTAATTTATATATCGAAAACTGAATCCTGGAAGGGAATTGTGAAAGCTCGGAACCTAAGAATTCAGTCCTGAAGAATCTTGAAAACCAGAAGTCTAGAAAATCATAAGACAGTAAGAAACATTTCTATGAAAAGCTACAATTCAGCCATCTTCAAATTTACCGTAAAGCCTGAACACGAAGGGCCTCCCACACTGTTAAGTCTGGGCCAATTTATCTCGGTTCCTAAGAAAGTTACCAAAAAGTTTTCAACTGGGAAAATATTTTTGCTATTATGATAAATATCTTGTCTGTTGGACACTCTTTGATATCTTTCACAAGAAATGAGATATATAGGCTTAAAGTTAATAAGTATGGATCATTATATTAGAGGGTGTAGGATATCCATGAACAGCTACATTTTAAGAATTTCCACTTTTTATTTTTACTGTAAACACTAGAAAACTGGACAATAAACAATATAAGGTAGTTTTTAGAATAAAAAAAAACGCTTTCCTAAAATTCGAGAGACGTACTAACTTTACAACAAAGTAGTACAAACCCATCCGCATCATCTGGTTTGTGCTTCTCAAAATTCAAAAATGCTCCTCGACTATGAGAAAGGGGGATAATTGAATTGGTTTTCTTCTCAGACTCGTCATCCGACTTGGACCGATTTGTTTGCCATTTTGATGGCGACAACGGAAAAAAAACTCGCAGAAGGAGAAGGAAATAACGCACGAGTGAAGAAAAAATAAAATGGGTATTACGAGAAGAATTCTTCTCCAGAAACACATGTGTGGAGAAGACAAAACAACGAGACGACAAGAACGACGACGACGACGATCAGGAGGACAACGGCGCCAGAAGAAAAATTGGAGGAAGAAAAAAGAAGAAGAAGGGGTCCCTGAAGGGAAAGGAATGCTGGCTCTCTAATGTGTCGATAATCGTGTGCGCAAGTCGGCAATCATCAATCATTTCGTTGTTCAGAGTTGACTTTTAAAACTCTTTTTGTCGTGTTTTAACACAGGAAAAGAAGAAGCGGACATAAAAAGAAAGGCTTGGGCATATAGATGTGGCATTATTATATGGAAATGGGGTCATTGGAGAATGAATACGAGGAAAAGAGGGATATATGACATTTCAATATGTAAATGAACTCGGAGGTGGGATGGAGGTAGAAAGGAACACGATTTCAAAAACATTCCGAAAAACGAACATATCGGGAACACTCAAATGAAACGCCACCCCTAATTTTCCCCTTTGATCCAGTTTATCTCAGTTCTTGTGAAAGATATCGAGAAGTAGTCAACTGACAAAGTATTTTTGATATTGTGGTAAACATTTTGACAGTTGACCATTTTTTGATATCTTTCGTACGAACTGAGATAATTCAGCTCAAAATTGACAGTGTGGGGGCCCTTCTAATACAGGTTTTACTGTATCCCTCAATGAGTTCACAAGCTAAACAGTGTATCCATTCAACTATCGTCATTTTCTGATTGTTTCCGGTCACTTTCTCTTGAACCCAATAAATTGTATATCACATGAGTCTCTTCATTTGAGCGGTTTTACGAATCAAAAAAACTTATCAAAGACAGATTAATTTGTTGCTTATCAGTTTTTGGGCGAGCAAATTCTGCATGTGTGGGTGGACGGAGATAGAAGCCAAAAACCGAAATAATAAACAAAAATTTGATTAAAAACACGGAAAGATTAAGTACGATTGAATAATGACTGGAAAATCAGTTCAGATTAACGAAGTTCAGTATACAGTACCGGTCAACAAGATAAACAAAAGCCTTTTTTTCCAGTTGATTTTTGGCTATTCTGATCATTCTCAGGAGTCTGAAGCTCGGCTGTCAAGTATCCTATCACTCTGAAAATTTTGGGGAGTGTAAAACAGGCCTAGATTAAAAACTTGGCACTCACAAAAAATTTTGAAAGTTTCTTGTTTTTCAGCTATTGGCCAGTTTCTGGAAATTTCAAAGAGATCAGAAACTTGACAGTCGAGCTCCAGACTCCTGAAAATGGTCAAAATAGCCTGAAAAAACATTTAAACTGTATCTTATTGACTAGTAGTGTGTTAAGAAAGATTCTTCCGATATCCATCTATCTTTTTTCTAAATGTTTTCTAACGTCGTGAGGTTGAGAATACTCAGAATTTCTTCTCTGACATCACTCACCTACCTCCTTTTGAGACAAAATTGTCAAAATGTCATTGACAATAACTGTCCAATAATGTTTCTGTGGGTGTTCTTCCGTCACTAAATTCCAAACCCACAATTCTCTTCGGCTTCTTATCACAATTACACCCAATTGACCTATTCGTTTTTTGATAACAAATAGAACAAGGATGTGCTCGAAGTGACGCTGTCAAAAAAGAGCAGTGAAAATCATGTGAAAGGATAAACAAGTCGAGTATATAAGGAGAGGAGTTGTTACATCAAATCATCAAGTTTCTTTTTCCTCATTCTTTTTTCCAAATACTAATTTTGACATATTATAGAATGAAACTGAAACTAACAATCCTTCTGGCACTGGTGGGTGCTTTGTTTGCTGCGCCATCGGACCTTCACTGGAGGCATCATCACCATCATCATCACCACAAAACCAAAGCTCCACGTCCAACAAAAGGAACCACTACTACACTGGCTCCACCGACTCAGGCTCCAATTATTGTTTCTTCTGCTGCTCCAATCATTGTTACTGATGCTCCATCTTCTGCAGCTCCAGAAGTACCAAGCTCTTCGACACCAGAAGTTCCTTCTGAAGCTCCATCTTCACCCACTGAAGAGCCAATAAAAAGTACCTCTGGCCCCTTTCAACCGTCGGAAGAGCCACAACCATCTGCTGAGCCATCTGACAAGCCGGATCCTTCTAGCCCACCATCGCCTGGACCGATGACCAAGGGTCCACAGCCACCAAACCCACCAGAACCATCTGACGAACCTGAGCCCTCTGCAGAGCCCTCCGAACAGCCATCCGATGCTCCACAACCCTCAGTGCAGCCATCTGATGAGCCACAACCATCCGACCAGCCAGAGCCGTCTGCGGAGCCATCCCCAGAACCATCTGAGCAACCCTCACCAAGACCAGTAGAGCCATCGGAAGAACCAGAACCATCTGATAAGCCTGAACCATCCGTGGAACCCTCCGCAGATCCTCAGCCATCAGACGAGCCACAACCCTCTGCCGGACCTTCTGATGAACCAGAGCCATCTGCTAAGCCACAACCATCTGAAGAGCCAGAACCATCTGACAAACCTGAGCCATCTGCAGAGCCATCCGAACAACCATCCGACGCTCCCCAACCTTCAGCCAAGCCGTCTGATGAGCCACAACCATCGGATCAGCCAGAACCATCTGTGGAACCCTCCAAAGATCCTCAGCCATCAGACGAACCACAACCCTCTGCCGAACCGTCTGACGAGCCTCAACCATCCGAACAGCCAGAACCATCTGCAGAACCGTCTGAACAACCATCCGACGCATCTTCGCCAGGACCAGTAGGACCATCCGAAGAACCAGAACCATCCGATAAGCCTGAACCATCTGTGGAACCCTCCGAAGATCCTCATCCATCCGCAGAACCTTCAGAAGCTCCACAACCCTCTGCTGAACCTTCCGATGAGCCACAACCGTCATCAGGTCCAGAACCATCTGTGGAACCCTCCAAAGATCCTCAGCCATCAGACGCACCACAACCCTCTGCCGAACCGTCTGACGAGCCTCAACCATCCGAACAGCCAGAACCATCTGCAGAACCGTCTGAACAACCATCCGACGCATCTTCGCCAGGACCAGTAGGACCATCCGAAGAACCAGAACCATCCGATAAGCCTGAACCATCTGTGGAACCCTCCGAAGATCCTCATCCATCCGCAGAACCTTCAGAAGCTCCACAACCCTCTGCTGAACCTTCCGATGAGCCACAACCGTCATCAGGTCCAGAACCATCTGTGGAACCCTCCAAAGATCCTCAGCCATCAGACGCACCACAACCCTCTGCCGAACCTTCTGATGAACCGGAACCATCTGCAGAACCTTCTGAAGCTCCGCAACCTTCCGATAAGCCACAACCATCCGACAAGCCTCAACCATCCGGACCACCAAGCCCTCCACCACGACCAACTCGCCGTCCAGGTCCACCAACCCGTCGTCCACCTCCACCAACTCGCCGTCCAGTACGCCCAACCCGTCCAACAGGACCACCCGGACCACCGACTCGACGACCACCCCATCATCACACAGGAAAGGGAGTTTTCTACTTCGATTTCGTTGATAAGAAATAATTTTGTATGAACTGCTATTTTTATTGAAATGTCATTGTTTTGTACATAAAATGTAAAATTGAAATAAAACAATTTTCTTCAGCTTCCTTTGGTTTAAAAAAAGATAAATTTTTTAAAAGGGAAAAACAACTGAAATGACGAAATTAATAAAGAGATAATACGAGCCAGAATATCTGACTTTCTAAGCCTTAGAATTTTAGAATTGTGTGGGCAGACAGAGACAGAACTCACAATCAGAACCAAAATAACAAAAAAATGAGTTCCGCTGATTGGAGCGGTGAATGACTATGTGTGGACCAGTAAAAAGTCACCCCAATGTTCAAAACATTTATGAAACCATGACAATAACTATCAAATTATGTTTTTGTGGGTGTTCTTACGTCACTAGATTCCCAACCTAATATTCATCTTCCTATCATAAAACATCTAAATGACCTATTCGTTGTTTTGACAACAGAAGAACAAAACGATGATTGGAATGAAGATGTTAGGTAAGAGCCGGAAAATCGAATCGTTCGAAAACAAACGTTTTTAGTATAAAAAACCGAAGAGATGTACTATCAAATCATTAAGTTTCTTTCTCTTTCTCCTTCATTTCAAATACTTATTCAATCATTTTTCTTTAGAATGAGTCTCAAGCTAACAATCCTTCTGGCACTCGTTGGTATTGCGTTTTCGGCTGTTGGACAGTCAGAGGTTCAGAACGATCTGTTGAAAGGTTCAGAACCATCTGGGGAACCCTCCGAAGATTCTCAGCCGTCTCAAAATCATCAGCAATCAGAAGCTTCACAACCCTCTGCCCATCCTTCTGCCGAGACTCAACCATCCGGACCACCGAGCTCTCCCCCACCACTAACAGGACGCCCAACAGGTTCACCAGGACCACGGAATCGACGTCCTGGTGGACACCATCATCACAAAGGAAAGGGCACGTTCTACTTCGACTTTATTGATAAGAAATAAATTTGAATGAACTGAGTTTTTATAATTTTCATTGTTTTGAAAATAAACTGTTAAATTGAAATAAAACCTTTATCTTCAGCTTCCTTTCGTATAAAAAAAAAAGAAAAACAGACAACTGCAATGAAAATAGATTCAGGATATGAAAAAAAAAAGAATCAATTTGAAACGAATCCATTGAACTGAAGAAAATACAAAAAACCCTTGAATTTCATGATGAATTTCATCAAACTTCTGAAAATCCGGACTTTTGACATTTTGAATTTCCGAAATTTTGATTTGTAAACTTTTCGAATTCCAGGATATGAGATATTCTAAAGTTCGGAATTCCGGAAATTTCGAATTTTAGAGTTGCCAAACTTTTGAGCTTGACAATTCCTAAATCGGAATTTTCGAATTTTCGATTGTTAGAATTTTAGAATTTCGGAATTTCGGGGTTTCAGAACGTTAGAACTTCGTAGTTTCGGAATCTCGGAATATCTCAGTATTTCTGAATTTCCGGATTTCGGATTTCCAGAATTTTGAAATTTTAGAGTTTTAGAGTTAAGGATATACAGTTTTAGAATTTTGGAATTTTGGAGTTTCGGAATTGCGGAATCTCGGGTTTTTCCAACAAAAAGCAAAAAAAGATTAGATAAGTTGATATTCCTGAACTGTCTACACGTTCTATTATATTTCCCGTCATGCTTGAACCAAAAACGCCTGTAATTCACATGATATTCTTTCATCAGTTTCTGCCGGTTTACGAATCTAAAAACCTTATCAGATATTATAAATTTTTGCTTATCAGTTTTTGGGCGAGCAAATTATGTATGTGTGGGTGGACAGGAGTTGCCTGGGGCATCTACCCTCCAACCGCTTCTAAAGGTTCCCTCTAACCACGCAACGACACTCCGCTATCCCGCTCGGCGCGCGCACAATTTAAATTTAGTTTTGAGTGATTGCGAGCTTGGATTTGGCTCGTAGCCTTCGAGAGACTCTTTTTAAGGATTTTAAGTGAGTTTTCTTGAATTCTAAACTTTTATTTGTTGTTTCTTTCTAACTTGTTCATAATAAACCGATTTTGTTTCATTTCTTGTTGATTTTCTTCTATTTTATCACAGGTACCTGATACCCCGGACATACCGCGGGCAATTCAGGAACAGAACTAACAATCGAAATAACAAATAAAAAGTTCAGCTGATTGGAGTGACGAATGATTGTGAGTGGACCAGTAAAACAATCATCCAAATGTTCAAAACATTTTTGAACTCATGAGAAAGCAAAGGTAATACCGGAGATCAGTTCTACATGGTGTGGCAAAAATATTGTAACAAAAAGAAGAAGTCATAATTCTTGAAAAATAGTTGAATCATCTTCAAAATAGAAGTTGAATAAGCTAGTCAGATCACATTCAGATTCAAGAAGAAAAGGGGAAACCAGTGCACGAAAAGATTGCGTCAAACTATCGTCCCGAACAGAAACTGAATGAATCCGAGATCATTCAGAATTCCATCCAAGATTTCTATGACTCGATAGGAATCCTGTTACTGATATTTTTCGTTCAGAACTTATTATTTTCCTCCGTATCCATCTTCCCAATTCAAAACGAAATTGTCAAAATTTCAGTGGTAATAACTATCAAATTATGTTTTTGTGGGTGTTCTTACGTCACTAATTTCCGAACCTCAGGTTCATTTTCTTATCATAAAAACACAAAAATGACCTATTCTTCTTTATTATCAATAATAAAAGAACAAAGCGATGATTGGAATGACGTTAACTAAGAGCGGGAAAATGTAATCGTTCGAAAACAAACGATTTTAGTTTAAAAGAGTGAGAGATGTAGTGTACAACCACAATTTTTTTTCTCTTTTATCCCTCAATTCAAATACTAATTCAACCATTTTTTAGAATGCATCTCAAACTAATAATCATTCCGGCATTGGTGGGTGTTGCGTTTGCGGCACCATTTGAATTTTTCTGGACACATCCCGTGAAAACGGAAGCCCCTCGTCCAACCGAAGGAACCAATAATACTCTTGCTCCGTTGGCCACTTCTGAAACTCCGACCGTTGTTCATTCCAGTGCTCGAATCAATGTCAAAGATCTTTTTCAACTCGTGAAAAAATCTCCTCCAACCACTGAAAAGCCAAAAAACAGTAGTTGTGGAACCGCTCGACCATCGAGAAAAACGAAACCAACTAAAAAACCGAAGCCATTGGAAAAACCAAAACCAACGATAAAGCCAAAACCGTCAAAAACAACTGCTAAGCCATCTGATGCTCCTCAAACTTCACGCCCACCATCGCCTGGACCGATTTTAACATCCGATGCATTTTCACAAGCACCAGTCGGAGGATCTGAAGAACCAAAGCCATCCGATGCTTCTTCCCAGACACCAGTCGGAGGATCTGAAGAATCAAAGCCATCCGATGCTTCTTCCCAAGCACCAGTCGGAGGATCTGAAGAACCAAAGCCATCCGATGCTTCTTCCCAGACACCAGTCGGAGGATCTGAAGAAACAAATCCATCCGATTCTTCTTCACAAGCACTAGTAGGAGGATCTGAAGAACCAAAGCCATCCGATGCTTCTTCCCAGACACCAGTAGGAGGATCTGAAGAATCAAAGCCATCCGATGCTTCTTCCCAAGCACCAGTCGGAGGATCTGAAGAACCAAAGCCATCCGATGCTTCTTCCCAGACACCAGTCGGAGGATCTGAAGAATCAAAGCCATCCGATTCTTCTTCACAAGCACCAGTCGGAGGATCTGAAGAACTAAAGCCATCCGATGCATCTTCACAAGCACCAGTCGGAGGATCTGAAGAACCAAAGCCATCCGATGCATCTTCACAAGCACCAGTCGGAGGATCTGAAGAACCAAAGCCATCCGATGCATCTTCACAAGCACCAGTAGGAGGATCTGAAGAACCAAAGCCATCCGATGCTTCTTCCCAGACACCAGTAGGAGGATCTGAAGAATCAAAGCCATCCGATGCTTCTTCCCAAGCAGCAGTCGGAGGATCTGAAGAACCAAATCCATCCGATGCTTCTTCCCAAGCACCAGTCGGAGGATCTGAAGAACCAAAGCCATCTGATGCTTCTTCCCAAGCACCTGTCGAAGAATGTGAAGAACCAAATCCATCCGATGCTTCTTCCCAAGCACCAGTCGGAGG